TTGTACATATCTTGATGAAAACTCAGAGTCTCTCTCCGAGTCTCTCTTGTTTGATGAAAACTTGAGTCTCCGTGGTGTAGTGGTAAGACACTCGCCTGGCGTTCCGCGAGCGCTATGTCATGGGTTCGTATCCTGGCCGGGGAGGATTTACTGGGCGCAATTCCTTAACTGTAGCCTCTGTTTAACGCAACAGTAAAATGTGTACTTGGATGAAAAAACGATTCTTCGCGGCAGGGGATCGTATTCCAGGGACCTGCCCGAAACGCTACGCGTGCTAGTGGCTGTACAAGAATGTAACAACTCTTGTATATATCTCAAAAAAAAAAAAAAACGTGAATACAGGGTGACACACCAATATTTATTACTGTAATAACGAATATGTATTATTCGTTTAGAATTTCAACTGCTCTTCGTCGAGTATTTCATTTAATTCTAAAAATAAACAATAAAGAAATTCATATAGAATCACAATAGACTACCACGATCTAGCTACAGTGGCAATATGTACAGACTCTCTGTTCTCAGTCTGCCCTCTGGACCATTGGTGGACTGCTGGCTGCTTATCTCTCCTTATCTCTCCTTTTATATATATATATAATATATATATATATATATATATATATATATATATATATATATATATATATATATATATATATATATATATATATATATATATATATATATATATTATTGGTGTATACTGGCAGCAGGCTTTCTTTTAAACCTGTCTCATTGAATATGACAGAAGATGGTAAATACTGAATATGCGGTCATATTCAATGAGACATATATATAATATGGAAAAACTATATGTAAATTACAATATAAATAATCAAATAATGATGTTGAGGTCACAGTAGTAGTAGTAATTGTTGTAGTTGTATCAGCAGCAACAATGACAGTAGTTGCTGGAGTCGTATTAAGAGTATATATAATAGGAGGAGTAATAGTAACACAAAATGTCAGTTTCTTAAAGTGGTTCTTGTTGATAAACATATGTTTAGACACTTCAGTCCGCCAGGTACCTGAGTAACTTAATTGCTGCGAGTGCCTTCCGTAGAGTTGTTTGCCGAATTGCTGGAGTTCGCTTCTCGGTGCAGACCGCTTATCACATGCCTCTGTATGACTAACCATCCTGTGTGATGGGGATTTCTTAGCATCGCCTAGTTAGCTTTTTTGGCACACTGTACTCCCCACTATCGCTTCTCGGCCTTTTGGGTAAGATCAAAGTGTAGTTAGTTGGTTGTACTAGTTTTAGTGTAAGTCACGATCAATGAGGAATTATCTTGGGGTCCCAAGTCCCACTCAGACCTGTGGTTAAGGCGGTGGTCATAGTGTTGGAGTTCGTGGTTGTAGTGGTGGAAGGTCTCCGTCAAGCGGTGGTGGTGTGCGAGTAACCACACAACACAGACCTGGCGACGATAACAATAGTGGTGTTGGTGGGTAACATTGCCGGACACGATGGCAACAATGTCCCAACATTATACCCGGCCACGAGTGTACAATGATGACGGTAATGACAACCATCGTCACCCACTGACAGGGGACGTGCAGCAATTGGGCAGCAGAAATTAACATGTTTAACAGTGATAAATTCCAGGTACTCGGATACGGCAAAAATGAGGAGGTGAAACATAATACAGGGTACAAAACACAATCGAATCTGCCCATAGTAGGAAATCAGCATGTCAAGGATTTGGGAATAATGATGTCCGACGACCTAACGTTTAGGGAGCATAACCAAGCAAATATTGCGTCAGCCAGAAAAATTATAGGATGGATTACGAGAACCTTGAAGTCCAGAGATCCCATCACAATGGTTGTACTCTTCAAATCACTTGTGTTGTCCCGTCTTGAATACTGCTCAGTACTCACTTCCCCCTTGAGAGCAGGAGAGATTGCTGAAATAGAGGGAATACAGAGAACATATACGGCACGCATTGACAAGATAAAGCACCTAAATTATTGGGATAGTCTCAAAGCTCTCCAAATGTACTCACTAGAAAGGAGACGAGAGAGATATACCAAATAATATACACGGGGAAAATACTGGAGGGACAGGTCCCAAATCTACACAGTAAAATAACAACGTACTGGAGTGAACGATATGGAAGAAAATACAGAATAGAACTAGTGAAGAGCAGAGGTGCCATAGGCACAATCAGAGAACACTGTATAAACATCAGAGGTCCGCGGTTATTCAACGTCCTCCCAGCGAGCATAAGAAATATTGCCGGAACAACCGTGGACTTCTTCAAGAGAAAACTAGACTGTTTTCTCCAAGGAGAAAACAGCTTGGTACACAGCCTGGTGTACCAAGCTCTCACAAGTTAAGCTTGGCCTCGGGCTTGGCTTGGGCTTGGCCTGAACAACTCCCAGAACCCCATCAACCAGGTAACTAGGTATCAACCTCCATTTACTTGACTCTTTCTCCTTCAACACTGTTGTCAATCGTCAGAAATTCTCGCCCAGCCTCTATCCCCCTCAACTGCTCGAATCTTAACTCGCCCTCCACTCTTCCCCTGGGGGTGAGAGTGGAGGAAGAGTGGAGTACCGCCGCTCGCACACCTGCTACCAGCTGGCAAATGTGTCGAGAGAAATGCGGCAATTGGCACCTCCTTTGTCAGTGAAGGAGGAGGGGGGGTGAGGGAGGGGGTGTGGAGGTAGGGAGAAGAGGGTGTACAGAGGAACAGGAGGAGGAGGAGGAGGAGGGTACAGAAATATGAGGAATATAAAAACATTCAGTTGATCATGTGGAAAAGTTCAAATAAATGGGAGTAAACTGAATTTGAGAGCTGAAGGAAGGGAGATGGATGGAAAGGTGGATTGATGGAAGAAATGAAGGAAGAAGGAAGGAAAGAGAAAGGAAAAATGGTTAGAGTAAATGATTTCTCGAGAAACCAAGTAAAATCCCAAAGTAAGAAAAATTGAATGTCAATAATTGAAAAACAGTGAAAAATATTTGATTCTGTAAATAAACTGAACAAATTCACCTTAAATGAGTGCCTTGCCCTCCAGAATGACAGTTTAAGCTCATTGAGAAATAAGAGACCAAATTCAGTGGATAAAAGTCACGTAATGAAATGCGAAGGTAAATCAAGATATAACTTACAACGAATGTGAAGACTCACAAGAGCACCGACAAGGAAAGAGATTAACGGTTGATTCTAAATAAAAAACTGACTATTTTCGCCAATTTCAGAATTTCCGTCATATGCATGGGCAGAGAAATGCTAAAACAAATATGTACATCAGACCAAAATTAGAATATGCAGAATTTAGTGATCATTTAAAGCTGAAATTTCACATAAAATAAGAAAGATACGAACACGTTTTAAATTACGATCCATACCTAATAAAAGAGGAAGTAGACTCGACAAACAGTTAATATGGTCATGGTCTGATCATGATAGATATCCACAACAGGAGGTCATGGACTCTTGGGAAGCCGAGGTAAACCAATGGGATCAAATAAGGATATTGTTATGTAAAGACTATAGGTAGCTTTAAAAAGTTTATGTACAGTATAGAAAAGGTAATGTGGACGGCAGAGCATAGCCAGCATAATGTTGTGTTTGTTACTACACTAAGTAATAACGCACTCTCTCTCTCTGTCTCTGTCTCTGTCTCTCTCTGTCTCTCTCTCTCTGTCTCTGTCTCTCTCTCTCTGTCTCTGTCTCTCTCTGTCTCTCTCACTCACACACGCGAAGGTGTTCACGGAGGTCTGCTAATGCCCAAAGTTAGTTGTCTTGTTTTCTTGTTCATGTTGGACAAGTTTTTCCAGTTCCCTATTTCTCCAACGTCCACCTCTCCCCCGTTCCCTTTCTCTCTTCCTCTTCCCTTTCCATTTCAATTACCGTTGATATTGTTTAGCCTGGCTGAATCATGTAATGTTCTCTACATAGAATATAACGTCATACCATAGACATAAAGGATCGTTACTTAACAAAGACCCCCCTTGTTCGGTAACTCGGACCTTGCATACCAGGCTTACGTGTGCGGTTCTGGGGCCAGATTCACGAAAACACTTACGTTAGCACTTACGAACGTGTACATCTTTCCTCAATCTTTGACGGCTTTGGTTACATTTATTAAACAGTATACAAGCATGAAAACTTGCCAATCATCTGTTGTTATTGTTATAAACAGCCTCCTGGTGCTTCGGAGCTCATTAACTGTTTAATTACTGTAAACAAAGCCGCCAAAGATTGAGAAAAGATGTACAGGTTCGTAAGTACTTGCGTAAGTGCTTTCGTGAACCTGGCCCCTGGCTATTAGGTACGACGTACATATATTATTCTCAATATCTTAGAGCTTGAAAAAAATTTTGAACGTAATTCTGTAATGAGCATTTTTCCTACAAGTAAATTTTCATTTTTCCTGTTTTCTTTGAATCCTGTAAATGTGAATATTATCTGACTATTCTGACAGAATGCTAGTTGAGGTATAACCTTAACATCTAGTATATTTCTCTTTCATAACACTGTTATACTGTTAGGATAAGATTTGTGTATAATTTTAAGGCAATATTTTATACAGGCGAGTGTAAGGAAAATACAGCAAATGTATTACTGTATTTTGTTTGATTACTTGTGAAGCTTTTGTTGGTGGCGTTATCTCGTCTATAATTATTATCTTACACACACACACACACACACACACACACACACACACACACACACACACACACACACACACACACACACACACTGGAGCTACAGAGTGAACAATACACAGGTACACATGATACACACACACACACACACACACACACACACACACACACACACACACACACACACACACTGGAGCTACAGAGTGAACAATACACAGGTACACATGATGATACACACACACACACACACACACACACACACACACACACACTGGAGCTACAGAGTGAACAATACACAGGTACACATGCTGATACACACACAAGCCATGCCTGTGCACTGACCTCATGTTGACCCCATACATCGTTTTCTTTCCCTTCGTAGGAGGAGGTATGGAAGGGCCCGGGCGATAGTAAGGTAACCACAACTGTTAACTTTACTTACTTTTACTCAGTGTTCTTACTTGATGTTGTGGTGATGGTGTTGTGGTGTGTTGTGGTGGTGTGTTGTGGTGATAGGTAGTGGTGATGTTGTGTTGTGGTGATGTGTTGTGGTGATGGTGTGGTGATGGGTAGTGGTGGTGTGTTGTGGTGGTGATGTGTTGTGGTGATGTGTTGTGGTGATGTGTTGTGGTGGTGTTGTAGTGGTGTGTTGTGGTGATAGGTAGTGGTGTGTTGTGGTGGTGGTGTGGTGATGGGTAGTGGTGGTGTGTTGTGGTGGTGGTGTGGTGATGGGTAGTGGTGGTGTGTTGTGGTGGTGGTGTGTTATGGTGGTGGTGTGATGATGGTGTTGTGATGATGGTGTTGTGGTGGTGGTGTGTTGTGGTGGTAGTGTGGTGATGTGTTGTGGTGCTGTGTAGTGGTGATGTGTTGTGGTGGTGTGTTGTGGTGGTGTGTTGTGGTGTATTGCTACTGTTATGGGGTGTAGGGCTGGTGTGGTTTTGGTGTATAGGTAGTGTGCTCTGGTGTATTATGATGTTGTATGTTGTGATGTGTTGAAGTGTGTTGTGGTGGTGCTATTGTATGATGTAGTAATGCTGTTGTATGATGTTGTGGTGGTGCTATTGTATGATGTAGTAATGTTGTTGAATGTTGTGGTGGTGCTATTGTATGATGTAGTAATGTTGTTGAATGATGTTGTGGTGGTGCTATTGTATGATGTAGTAATGCTGTTGAAGTGTGTTGTGGTGGTGCTATTGTATGATGTAGTAATGTTGTTGAATGTTGTGGTGGTGCTATTGTATGATGTAGTAATGCTGTTGAATGATGTTGTGGTGGTGCTATTGTATGATGTAGTAATGCTGTTGAATGATGTTGTGGTGGTGCTATTGTATGATGTAGTAATGCTGTTGAATGATGTTGTGGTGGTGCTATTGTATGATGTAGTAATGCTGTTGAATGATGTTGTGGTGGTGCTATTGTATGATGTAGTAATGCTGTTGAATGATGTTGTGGTGGTGCTATTGTATGATGTAGTAATGCTGTTGAATGATGTTGTGGTGGTGCTATTGTATGATGTAGTAATGCTGTTGAATGATGTTGTGGTGGTGCTATTGTATGATGTAGTAATGCTGTTGAATGATGTTGTGGTGGTGCTATTGTATGATGTAGTAATGCTGTTGAATGATGTTCTGATGGTGCTGTTGTATGATGTAGTGGTGGTATTGTTGTATATGATGAGGTGCTGTTGAATGACGTTTTGGTGATATTGTATGATGTTGTGGTGATATTGTATGATGTTGTGGTGATATTGTATGATGTGGTGGTGCTATTGTATGATGTGGTGCTGTTGCATGATGTTCTGGTGATGCTGCTGTATGATGTTGTAGTGCTGTTGTATGATGTGTTGTTGCATGATGTTGTGGTGGTGTATGATACTGTATTGCTGTTGTAATGCTGTTGTATGATGTGGTGGTGCTGTTGTATGATGATGTGGTAGTGCTGTTGTATGATGTTGTGGTGGTTCTGTTGTATGATGGTGAGGTACTGTTGAATGACGTTTTGGTGATGTTGTATGATGTGGTGGTGGTGTACAGTGTTGTGTGGTGATGTACAGTGTTGTGTGGTGCTGGTGTGTATGTGTGCATGTGTGAAAAATGTTATTTGACAGTTGAGAGGCGGGCCGAAAGAGCCAGCCCCATCTCCCGCAAGCACAACTAGGTGAGTATACACATTTACACCCCATACATCCGGGCGGGCGAAGGTCGCGAGTGTGAATCAGGCTTCAGTTAGTGTGACTTTCTTTGTGTGAGTGACGTCCACTGTGAGTACGGTGAGTCAGAGGAGAGGGAGACTCACCGTTGACCCCTCTGGACGCCCAGTTCTTTACCCAGTTACTGATAGTCGCATTAAAGTTATATCTTGTAATCATTAGTTAAAAACAGGTCACTTTTTACTTTTTTTAAACTGCAATGACATCCTTTGAGGTTCATTTTAGTCAACTGCTGCTTCCATGTTTTCAAATTAAGCCCCTAACGGGTCTAACGGTAAGCTGCGGGCTACTGTTGTGGTGGGTCTAACGGTAAGCTCCGGGCTACTGTTGTGGTGGGTCTAACGGTAAGCTCCGGGCTACTGTTGTGGTGGGTCTAACGGTAAGCTCCGGGCTACTGTTGTGGTGGGTCTAACGGTAAGCTCCGGGCTACTGTTGTGGTGGGTCTAACGGTAAGCTCCGGGCTACTGTTGTGGTGGGTCTAACGGTAAGCTCCGGGCTACTGTTGTGGTGGGTCTAACGGTAAGCTGCGGGCTACTGTTGTGGTGGGTCTAACGGTAAGCTGCGGGCTACTGTTGTGGTGGGTCTAACGGTAAGCTGCGGGCTACTGTTGTGGTGGGTCTAACGGTAAGCTGCGGGCTACTGTTGTGGTGGGTCTAACGGTAAGCTCCGGGCTACTGTTGTGGTGGGTCTAACGGTAAGCTGCGGGCTACTGTTGTGGTGGGTCTAACGGTAAGCTCCGGGCTACTGTTGTGGTGGGTCTAACGGTAAGCTCCGGGCTACTGTTGTGGTGGGTCTAACTGTAAGCTGCGGGCTACTGTTGTGGTGGGTCTAACGGTAAGCTGCGGGCTACTGTTGTGGTGGGTCTAACGGTAAGCTCCGGGCTACTGTTGTGGTGGGTCTAACGGTAAGCTCCGGGCTACTGTTGTGGTGGGTCTAACGGTAAGCTCCGGGCTACTGTTGTGGTGGGTCTAACGGTAAGCTCCGGGCTACTGTTGTGGTGGGTCTAACGGTAAGCTGCGGGCTACTGTTGTGGTGGGTCTAACGGTAAGCTCCGGGCTACTGTTGTGGTGGGTCTAACGGTAAGCTCCGGGCTACTGTTGTGGTGGGTCTAACGGTAAGCTCCGGGCTACTGTTGTGGTGGGTCTAACGGTAAGCTCCGGGCTACTGTTGTGGTGGGTCTAACGGTAAGCTGCGGGCTACTGTTGTGGTGGGTCTAACGGTAAGCTCCGGGCTACTGTTGTGGTGGGTCTAACGGTAAGCTCCGGGCTACTGTTGTGGTGGGTCTAACGGTAAGCTGCGGGCTACTGTTGTGGTGGGTCTAACGGTAAGCTGCGGGCTACTGTTGTGGTGGGTCTAACGGTAAGCTCCGGGCTACTGTTGTGGTGGGTCTAACGGTAAGCTCCGGGCTACTGTTGTGGTGGGTCTAACGGTAAGCTCCGGGCTACTGTTGTGGTGGGTCTAACGGTAAGCTGCGGGCTACTGTTGTGGTGGGTCTAACGGTAAGCTCCGGGCTACTGTTGTGGTGGGTCTAACGGTAAGCTGCGGGCTACTGTTGTGGTGGACCTAACGGTTTTTTTATATACTATTTTATAATTTATATACTATATAATTTATAATTATATAAATTATAATTAAATATATATATATATTTATAATTAATATATAATTAATTATTAAATATATAAATATATAAAAAAAATATAATTTATAATTTATATACTATTATAGTATATAAATTCTAGTTTATATTACAAATTCAACTATTACTAACCGGAAAGTATTTCAGTATTAATCTAATATAGCAACTTTGAAGTCTGTCTGTAAAGTGAGACACATCAGAGTGGGTCACTCGGGGCCTCGTGTCCGGGTTTAATGCTTTGGCTGACGCACAGTTCTGGTGGAAGTTCACTGCGGGCTCACCATAGCCCGTGCTACTTGCAACTTTTGTTCCCAGTAGCTGGGATCTTAACACAACAGTAGTTCTGGTATCTTCAATACCGGGTGATGTTCTTCATGCTGTGCATGACCTCCAGGCACGTAATTATACGCATGTAGGAATGTATTAGCTTTTAAAATTATTATCTTTATTGACACGTTCAAGGTATGAACGTGTAATGAATGTTTTGCATCTGATGTTCGCGATCAATACACCATCTGTGATGGTGTATTGCTTGTCACCTTCAGAATGGGGAGGATCATGGCATTTTATGGTGATGACTTGCTTTGGTTGTCCTGTCCTGTCGTATTTCTCAGGTTCCGTATCAGTTCTTTTTAATATATACGTCACCAGACTATATTTAATGTAGCCTATATCCCATACTCCATGGAGCTATCTTACCATTTTCCCCCTCTATCTCCCTCCAGCCTCCCCCCCCCCTCTCTCTCTCTCTCTCTCTCTCTCTCTCTCTCTCTCTCTCTCTCTCTCTCTCTCTCTCTCGCTCTCTCGCTCTCTCTCTCTCTCTCTCTCTCTCTCTCTCTCTCTCGCTCGCTCGCTCTCTCTCTCTCTCTCTCTCTCTCTCTCTCTCTCTCTCTCTCTCTCTCTCTCTCTCTCGCTCTCGCTCGCTCACGCGCGCAATTTGGCGCGAAACAGTTGAACCACGTGATGTCGATCGCTTGTTTACACCTGTCCAGACAACCTATTCTCTGAGCACCAATAATTCCGGGCACACGCCCCAGGACCTCCATGCACTCCAGGGTATCTTGCTTTATTCATGACACAACTGTTATGATCCGGGGGCAGGAGAGGCGCGCTACTGAAGTATAAGCGGATAGGGCCAGGACGTAGTGTAGTAAATTCCCGCCAAAAAATATCAGTTGATACTTTCAACGGAAAATGTCGTGCACAGACAGTCGCGGCGTAAATACCTGTCATTTTTTTTACAGGTGCCTCAGTTATGTATGATATATATATATATATATATATATATATATATATATATATATATATATATATATATATATATATATATATATATATATATATATATATATATTTTGGTAGCAGTCTTTCCTGTAGACATATATTATTAAATATGACCGAAAAGTATCTTTTTCGGTCATATTTAATAATTTTTTTAATTTTTTTTTAATTTTTGTTTTAATTTTTTTAATTTTAACTTTTTCGGTCATATTTAATAATATATATATATATATATATATATATATATATATATATATAT